CAAAGGAAACATGCATATATAGTTACATTAACAATCTAACATGGCTGCCCATGAATTGGTTTTATGGTCTGAGTGGAAATTTTGTTTAAAGCAATTGAAAAAGTAATGGTATAGCTACAGTTTGAGACTGGTCAATAACGGAATGACAAATTGATTGGGAACTTCAGGTACAGGTATTCTTAGTTCTCCAAGAATAAATGAATGAATAACAAATTGTTTAAATGATATTTTAGGTCTTTGGAGGAAAAAGTAGCTAAGGGCATATTTTCTGCTGAAAATGACAAGCCAGTGTGCTATAGTTTATTCAAGCCATTGTGTTATCCCTGAAAAGATTGTATCATGTTTATTAATTGTGCTCAATGGTCATACACATCTTTTTCAAGTTTCACACAGCAACAGGTTTTGCCGTAACAGACTTAAGAGAGACTTAAATCCTATTAAATAAGAGTGTCAGATGAAAATAAAACAAATACCCAGGATATGATATAAATATGTGCTTAATTTCTATATTAGCTAAATTTTATGTGGTGCAACAGGCAATTGCTACCTTAAACTGAAAGTTAAGCTTCAATACAGGGTCATACTCAGGTTTGGCCTGTTAAGGCCAAGTTCTAGCACATCTGGAAGGAGCCAAAAATGGGTAAATATCCTCTGATTTGATGCATATTCAGTGTGCACCAATATATTGGTATGGGTATAATCCTGTTAGTCTTCTGCAGTTAAGAGTCTCATACCCTAAAAACTAACTTAAGTCTGTTATGGCAAAACACTCCACAGACTACAGTCATCAGATGCAAAGAATTTCACTCCATAAAAATTTATATCATAATAAATTATAATTTCTAAGGAGTTACAAGGCTCTGTCCTTGCTACTGTAAATAAAGTTTTCCCAGGAAGTCCAGAATTCACAATTGCCTAACTAAATCCCAATTGCTGTACACGTTTAACCATTATGCTTGTATAAATTGGTGAAGATTATGATCATAATGATAGTTTTTCTCTCTCACACCTTTATAACAGAATACTTAACTGGATTCATTAGTTCAGACTTTGCACTAAGGCTCATAAAGCTTTCAGTGGGAAAACTGAAAGGAAAAAAGAGCAGAGTATATACACCTTAAATAGTCTGAGAGTATCTGTAGAAAAGAATATATTTAGCTATACTGTTTTCAATTGGCCATTTTACATATATATA